GTGTGCTTTATTTCGGCGATTAATAGTGTCATCAAAACAACTGTGAATCCAATGAGCGATTCAAATAGTTTTGCTGTATTTTGAGCTCATGTTTGCCTATATATGCGGTGCTATTAATAGGCGCTTACATACGATATACCAGTGCTTTGCAGTTGTGTTGCAATTGTTTTTAATTAGACTCTAATTGGGGGCACAGAGAGGGCTAGATATGGGATACGAGGACCCAATGGGTCCACCATTCGTAATACCGGTGCGAATAGTTCATATGCCTTACATACCTGTCCCCTCCTATCTCTGTCGGTCTCTACCTCTACCCCATTCCCTATCAATCCATATGACAGTATCATTAGTCACCGATTCTTGTGGTAAAATGTGGACCAATCTGACTGATTATCACTGAATAGTGGACTCCTTTGAAGCATAAACTCCACGTATAATCTGATTGAATGATAGCATTGTATTTGTAATGAGTTGTTAATCTGTCGTATAATTTGTACACCAATTGCGTGAATATATTATTGACAGTTAGGTGTGAATACATATAAATAGTGAGGAATTTAACAGAATTTTTCGTTTTTGTTTGATTAGTAGTCAAGACATCTATTTTTGCCTCAAATCTATATAAATTGTGTTTACGATTGAGACGTTTGTAGTAATTGTTAGCATATAATTGGTTTAGTAGTGATGGCGAGGCCTTGACATTTGGTTTTAACTCTTTTTTATGATCACAAAAATCATAATAAAAATTAATTTTCTTAGTCTTCATGAAAGGGGATTAAGTGAGCGATTGGTTGACTGGCTGTGAGAGTGTTGTGTTGTTTGATATAATCAGGAATTTTTGTGTAAATAATAATAATGATATCGAAATTGTTGTCGAAATCCGTATATTTACTGCGATATGAGATAACATAGTATTGCATGGGATGTGTGGGTTGTGTTGCAATATTCTGGTACAGAATCGGTTGGGACGGGAGTGTAGACGTACTCATTGAATGGGCCCCACATTACACGCACACACAGAATATACACTCATTTGAAACATACATGTTATCGATAAAAAACAGTGGTTTTCGGCTATAAATAGATTTTGTTGAATAGTTTTGCAGTACTGGCAGTACATCTCGAGAGAGATGGATATAAGAGGAACAGTAGTGTACGGAGTGTATAGAGTGGAGAGGATTGGTTTCATACCAATTTAGGCAGTGCTCCACACACTCCTCATCCATTCAATAACAGTATTTCACTCATTAATTGAGGGATAATTATTCGGTGGACAACCACTCGATGGACACTAGGGTTGGTCTCACCATCGGATACATTGTTCCCCTCAGAGTGACTGTTATTAGCGATTCCCAGTGGCCGACCCTAACGGACTGGATGAGTGCTACTCGTGCTGAATGAGTCCCATAATGAGTGCGATATTGAGTACGGAATTTACTGTATACTTGTTTTTTAACTGTTATTGCCTTTGATTTCAATTCTCGATTATATAACTGTTTTAACACTTTTGACAGTAAGAGATTTAATTGAAAAAATGTATTTATTTGTAATTTCAATGTATACTAACTTATAGTTTTATGATGGCATATGTAATGAGCCAATGATGCAAAAAGTGCTGAATTATGTAATTCTTATGTATTGCAAAACCGGTTCACTACTGAAAATGATTTATTGGATGTTGACTCAGTCTAGACGTTATGTGATTCTCAAAGCGACACTTTTTATTCAAAATATATAATTTTAACGCAAATTTTAATTTCTGAAAACGGATTTTATATTTATTTATTGTAATACGAAGTCACAAATCGCTATAAAGAATATAATATTTTAAAATTGAAATGATAACTAACTTTAAATGATAATTGAGTGTAAAGTATATGCGAAACGACGACGAGATGAGTACTGATTGTGTGTCTGTATCGCAGGTGAGGGTCAGAAGCAACCGAACCAATCGCGCCTGTATTGGGACATTCAACTCGACCAGGACTTGTTGGAGACAATCGTGAACATATACCCGGAGTGGTTCAACGAGAACAGTATCCAAGCGATGACTGAGGGCGCGACCGACTCATTGATACCATTCTTGCAATCGATACCATCGGACGCCGCCTCTCCCCCCACAGTCGACAGCCAATCACTCCTGAACTCAATGGACAAGAATAAGGAATCGCTGAAAGTCAAGCTTATGCTCAGACGACCCATCAATGAGCTCATCGAACAGGGAATCCATCCGCGTATGACTTATTTGTTTTGTTTTACTTGTGTTTACTGTTCATTGATGTGATGCTAACTATTTGTGTATTGATTGGTTGTGTTGGACAGCACTGGGATCTTCTCCCGTATTTCATCAGCAAAAACAACGGTTAGAACGCGCGAAGACCGGAGACTTCCTGAAGCATAAGATCCAACGACGGCCTCAGAGACAGGAACTCGTCGAACAGCACATCCTCGAGGACACGACCGTCGATCCGAGTCTTCACGAAAAGCAGAGACAACTAAAGAAAGCGCGTTTAGCCGACGATCTCAACGACAGGCTATCTCACCGACCGGGACCTCTTGAGCTCATCAAAGGTAATATACTGCACACGGATGAGCAGTTCGAGCAGGCGGTCAAAGAGGGTCAGATCCCCTTCAAGAACACGAGCGAAGGGGAAGTGATTAAACACCCGCCGCCGCGGTTCGTGTTCGCCAACGAGGAGGAGAGCAGTTCCGACAGCTCGCCCTCCCCTCTCGTCAACACCACACCACCCGAGCAGTCATTAAATGGTTTGATAACATTCGACGCGGTGACCAACGATGTGGTGACGACCGCTCCCACGGCCACAGTCGTGGCCACCACTTGCTCGCCGACAAGCGTCTCATACATCGTCTCATCGCCCGTCGCGAGTATACTCACCTCTCCATCAACTGTTCACTCGATTTTGATTGGCAACGGAAATGCCGTCACCATCGCCGCTCCCAATCCCACGCCATCTGTGGTGGCGGTCACCTCCGGAGCGGCCGCTCCTATAATAAACGCCTCGCCATTCTGTCAGACGACGAATCAGATATCAGTCAACCTTCCAGTGGTCTCCAGTTTTAAGGAACATTCTTCTGGCTCTAAGTGTCGCAAAAAATCCAAATCCAAAGCGCAGCCAAAGCCGCGAACCATTAAGTTTCACGAATACAAAGTGAGTACAGATTTGTTGTTTTTTTTGGTGAGAATTTCACTAAAAAAACGTGCGAAACGATAGGGACCACCGAATGCTAAGAGTCAGTTGAACGCAAACCTGTCGTCCACCGAGTCTTCGTACGAACTACTCCTACAACAGCAACAGCTGTTCCTTCAGTGGCAACTGGAATGGCAACAGAAGTACCCGCAGATAATCCTTCCAACGGCTCAAGTGAGTCACTCGTTTGTATGACAAGTAATTATTGGTAATTAATTGAATGTTTAAAAAAAACTTATTTATTGCTATTAGAAGACAAGTTTGGACCAAATCCAAGACCAGGGAACAGATGCTCAAAGCGCCGCACACTCGCAAAACAGCCCCAAATCCGCTTCGACTCCGAACGCTATACGGACGACATTTCAAGCGAAACCCATTATTAACCCAAATGTGACCAATAATGACAGCAACGGTTCGGTGGGTTCGCCGCGCGACCGCTCCAACAGTAATGCATCCGTGAGTCGAGAGTCGAAATTCAATTCGTCAGTCGTCGGCAAAATCATCTCCAAATTGGAAGACATGAAAGTAAGTGATCTCAAGGCGGAGCTCAAGAAACGCAATCTTCCCGTCTCGGGACCCAAACAGCAGCTCATCGATCGGCTCAAGCCGTTCGTGGACGCAGTGATGGCCACCGCTATCGCCAACAGCTCTTTCATGACCATCAGTTCGCCCAATGGTATGATTAGTCCCGAAAGTGAGTCCAAACCAATCACACCGAATGGCGATGTGGTTAAGATGGAGCCCACGTGTGATTCGGTGCCGATGTCGCCGAACGCAGTCATGTCGTCCCCCGACCACAGCGTCGACCCTAAGTCCGAACCAATGGATGTGAAATCGCCGGAAAATAATGTGATGGAAGTGGACGCCATGGCTGAAGATGTCGATCAAAACAATTCAATGGATTTGGGAACTGACGGCTCCGTCCACACCACAAACCAGACGAACGACGAAATAGTTTTAATACAACAGAAAAGGATAAGTGAATTGCAAAGAGAGCTACAGAAGTCTCAAATGCAGTTACATTTGCAACAAACGGCTGGCCTTCCGATGGACTCGCAATCAGTCGTAAACGCGCCTCAAATACACATCATATCGACGCCAAACGCTGAGCTCTCAGTGGACGGCGCCACACAGAAATCACTTCAGCGACAGTTACTTCAGCAACATTTGCAGCAAAAACTGCAGCAAAACCTCAATTTGAAGCCTCAAACGCCTACTAATGAGACCAATTTGGCGACACTCCTGACGAACGGCACGATATCGCCGTCAGTGAAGGCGAGTTTAGCCGCTTTCCTACAAAGTCAACAACAACTGCAACAACAAAATCAAAGCCTAACACCGAAACTGATTACAACGCAAAACGTGACGCCTATTCAGCAAATTGTTTTGTGTCCAACAATTTGTGCCACAACTGAGACCATTGCCACTCAAGAGCCCGAAGGAGGGAAACAGCGGACAAATTCCCTGCCGAACGGATTGTCCCATAAATTCCTTACCCATTCGTCCCTCAGGTTTGTACTAATCGATGAGATTTAACGATAATAATGTGTCTAATGTTTGTTAACTCTATTCATATGACAGGACGGCTTCCCTTCCAAACTTCAATTCAATACTTACGAGTCATCCGCCAAACGGCGACCAAAAGACGACGACGCCATCAGCCGAAGTGAAGCCACACCTGATTGTGACGAAGTGTCCGCCCAATTACGACGAGGCGACCAAACAGATGAACAAACCTAAAGACAAGAAGAAGTCCGTCAAGAGTCAGGAGTTGGACGATGTGCTCAAAATACTTATCAAAAACGGTGAACTGCCTCCCAGTGCGGCACAGGATCCCACCACTCCTACCACACCGGAGAAGGTGTTGTCACTCAAGAATCAAACAACGAATCCCTTGTTTTCAGCGCCAAAGAGTGTACAAAAGGCGTGCGAATTGACACAAACGGAGAAATTGAATAATAACTGTAGTAATGATAGCAATAATAATAATCATATAATCAATAATAATAATAAAGTAGTCATTAATAATAGCAATAATAATATAAATAACAAAATGAGTGCTCAAAACAACGCGACCCTCGACTTCGACTTCATCTTAGATCTCGAAGGTCTGGCCGAAGCCATGGATCTAAACGTCGCCATCAATGAGAAGAACCTGAAGCCCGAAAAGTTTAATAACAATAACAACCATTCATATCAACCCAATCATTGCAATCAAAGTATAAATAAAAACAACATTAATAGTGAGCTTTCATTATCGGAATTCATGGACTTTCAAGAGTGTAACCTAAATGTTGAGGACAACCACTGGTTAGGAATGGCGTCCACTTCGAGGTCTGCTAACGAACAAAATATGTTAAACTATAGCGAAACCGATGAACAAAACCAGTCGAGTATTAACTTCGACAGCAATAACAACGCCGAAAGCGCGGCAATCGGTCACAACTCGATGGCCGCCTCCGCGGGCAAGAGTGAGGCCTCCAAACACGACCCCATCCTTCCCAACACGATGTTCGGCGGCACTCTCGTCGACCCATTAGGCGACCTTTTCTTCGACGACACGGATTTCAAGTCGACCCTTGACTTGGGATCTCTGATGTGGGATAAAGTGGATTTCGCCACCTGATGGTCACCCCTACCGTCAGTCGCCGCCCCCGCCCGCGGCAGCCACTGACCCCCCGAATGACTGACTAAACGCTCATTTGAAACCGACCCTCGAATAACTCAATTAAGTTGTGGACCAAAACACTTGTATCTCTGACCACATATTCAGTCAAATCTATATTCTGTCCAATTTGTAAACCAATGTATAGACAGTTAGTGTTAATACAATTTTTAACAAATTCATTTGTAAGTTATATTACAATCGTATAATTGATTTTTAAAAATCTTTTTTTCTGTTGTTTTCTGTTTTTTTTGTTAAGACTAATTGAATACTAATTTTTGTTGTATTAAATAACTAACAAACATATTATGAGTGAATTCACGTTCCATTCGTTGCAATCCAATACAATCCGATACCAATGTGTGAGTGCTATATGCAGTGCAACCAATAGACCAGTTGTATAGACATAACAAGAAGTTGTTCCTAAATTTGTAGATCAAATTGTCGACAATTAGTTGCGAGACAACGAGTTGTGCCAATCTATCTGAACGCATGACTTTGTTTTTTCTATTTATATGTATTATATTATATATGAGTTTTAAATTATGAACTAATTATTATTAATTATTTTAAATTTGTTGACCATTTGGACGATTGTTTTCTTTCCAAAAAAATCGTTCAATTCTTTGAAGTTATCATTAAAACAAATATTTTGCAAACAAATGACTTATTCTTATCTCAAATTTATCGACTCTTATGTCTAATGATTTGATGGCAGACTCTTTACTT